TGGGGTGGGAACTGGGTGGAGGGGAGCTATGGGGGGGAAAAGAGGAACAACTATAATAATCTGAACAATAAAGATTTAATTTAAAAAAAAATAACTCAGAATGATGTATTTTTTTTCGATGAACTATCAGTATTGCTTTCATAAGTATATCTGGTTTGTTTTAAACAGCAATTTTCATTAGAGTAAATCATTGATCATATTGTTTCTTCATTTTTATCTTAACTAAACATTTAGTCTAAATTTTTACAAATTTTGAATCAGCATAACATTTTTGACTTATTGAAAGTACTAAGTATTAGCAAAGTTGACTTCCCCCTTCTACTGATTTTAGCGGCTGAAGGAAAAATATTCATTTGAGAATTTCCTCAAGCCTGGTGACATTGTTTTCATATAGCAGAGAACCTTATTTTAAATCTTTCAGTTTATCCTAGATCAGTGGTTCTCAACCTTCCTAATGCCGCGACCCTTTAATACAGTTCCTCATGTTGTGGTGACCCCCAATTTCATTGTTACAAATTGAACATAATTAAAGCATAGTGATTAATCACAAAAACAATATGTAATTATATATGTGTTTTCCGATGGTCTTAGGCAACCCCTGTGAAAGGGTCGTTCGACCCCCAAAGGGGTCGCGACCCACGGGTTGAGAACCGCTGTCCTAGATACTTTGTCCAATGAAATAATATTAAAGTAATGACAATGAAAGTGACTCGTACGAAATATGTGAACCAAAAACATCATACTTTCATATCTCTTCTGAGATATATATCTTATGAGGTATGTCTAGGATTTTTAAAACAAAGGGGCAGTCTAATAATCTTCAGTAACTTTTTCTCCAAAAGTTATTGGCATAAGTGAGAAAGAGTTTTAAGAATTAAAGTTTAAAATAAATCTCATCTATATTTAAGTCACATATAAGTTGCAAAGTTGGATGTGTTTCAGTAGTCATAGAAGTTGACGATTGAAGTACTGGATTTCTTACATTATTTATAGTAGAGCTGAATTTGAGTTGTAAGATTTTCTTTTCTCATCCCATTGCTTTTATACACTAGATGATGTGGTCTTGACTTATATTTCCTTATTAGATGCAGCCACTGTAATGTGGTTTGAGAAACTTCATGTGTGGCTTCTTTTTATGGAGAAGAATATCATCTATCCATTGATTGTTCTTAATGAACTGAGTAGCAGTGCAGAGACAATTGCTAGTCCAAAAAAACTGGATACAGAGTAAGTATAATACTCCTTTAATCTAAGTTGAACTACTGGGGGCAGTCAGAAGCACTGTCTTAAAGTTATTCATCAAGTTACAAGTAATCAAGGGTCTTTTTGGTGCAAGACACTGTGAGATAAAATCCAAGTGAACCCTAACTGTTTCAGTGGATAGAGCATCAGCCTGCAGACTGAAGGGTACCAGCCTCCATTCCAGCCAAGGGCACATGTCCGGGTTGCAGGCTCGATCCCTAGTATGGGCGTGCAGCCAATCAGTGATTTTCTCTCATTATTGATGTTTCTATCTCTCTATCCCTCTCCCTGCCTCTCTGATATCAATAAAAATATCCTATCTAATAATAGACAAACATGGTAATTGACCGTACCTTCGCTACGCCTCCCATGGGCTAATCATCATGATATGCAAATTAACCGCAAACAAAGATGGCGGCTAATTTGCATACTGCAGGCAGCGCAGGACAGCGTGAGTGCGAGCCACCATGAAGGCCCCCGTGTACGACCCCAGAAGCCACCTGATATGGCAGTAACTCTATCAGTGAGCACTCTGAAAGTCAGTGGCATAAATGCACCAATGAAAAGACAGATTATGAGGGTGAATCAAAAACAAAACC